TTGAAAAAGATAATATAATGCAGTTAAATGTACTAGATAATATAAACTGCAAAAACATTGTACACATAAGTAAGAATAATGAAATTTGTAACTATGATACAGATAGTTACGAAATAGCTTCAAATATAAACAATGACAACGGAGCCAAACAAATATGTAGTAAATATTTACAACTGCAAATGTGTTCAAAAAGTATGATTGAAACAACGATAGAGAATCTGCAGAAATGGGGTTGCAACATTACATTAAGTCAACTGGATGAACTATTAAAAATATTGAATGTTATAATTCCCGATTTACCTACTTCTGCGAAAACATTTCTACAGCTAAATAATACTCCTGAATATAATATTATTCAATATGAAGACAAATCCCAGTTTGTATATTTTGGTATAGGTAATAATCTAAAACGAATAATTAATCCAGAATTGCATATAGATGATATTCTGTCACTACAATTTAATATTGATGGTCTAAGTATATTTCATTCAAGTGCACAACAATTTTGGCCTATACTGTGTAAAATACATCTGTTACCCAATATATACGAACCGTTTCCAGTTGCAATTTATATGGGAAATACAAAACCGAATAATCTAGAATTATTATTTAACGATTTTGTTGATGAATTAAATTTGTTATTATCTCATGGTATTGAAATTGAAGGGAAAAAATTTTGTATTTCTATACAATGCTTTATATGTGATAAGCCAGCTAGGTCGCTCATAAAAGGCATAAAAGGCCATAGTGGGTTCAGATCATGCGAAAGGTGTACCGTACATGGCTTCCGCTCAAATAATAGAACCATTTATGCATCAGTAACATGTACTGAAAGAACCAACGAATGTTTTCGAATAATGCAAGATCCGATACATCACATACAAGTTACTCCTTTAACCAAAATAAATCCACCGATAAATATGATTAATCATTTTGTAATTGATTTTATGCATTGCGTATGTCTTGGAGTAATGAAAAAGTTACTTGTAGAGTACTGGTTAAGCAAAAAGCGCATACAAAAAAAATTAAGTAGACAACATAGCATGCAATTAAATGAAAGACTCTTAAATTTACAGAAGTCAATACCAAAGCAATTTCAACGAACAACCAGATCATTAAACGTAATTTTAAAGTGGAAAGCAACTGAATTTCGATTATTCTTACTGTATTATGGACCTGTAGTTTTAAAAGGCATTTTGTCCAAAGACTTGTACAATCATTTCCTTCTGTTACACGTTGCTTGTAGGATATTGTCTTCAAAAAATTTATATCTAACGTACAACAATCATGCAAAACTGTATCTTATAGCATTTGTGCAACATGTACAAAAATACTATGGTATTGAATCGCAAGTTTTCAACGTACACAGTCTCATTCATATTGCAGATGACGTAATCAATATGAATTGCAGTGTAAGTGAAATAACATCATTTCCTTTCGAAAATTATCTGGGCAAATTAAAAAGACTTGTAAGATGTGGATATAAGCCTTTAGTTCAAGTGTGTAATCGCTTAA